CCTTCTCGCTTGCGCCGCGCTTTGGGAGGGCCCTTCGGAGGCCAGGCTGGAGGAAGTCGAGGCTCGGATTTGGCCTCGAGTTTAGGGTTTAGGGGTTTAGGGGTTTAGGGGTCTAGGGCTTAGGGGTTTAGGGGTTTAGGGGTTTAGGGGTTTATAGGGTCTAGGGGTTTAGGGTTTAGGGTCTAGGGCTTAGGGGTTTAGGGGTTTAGGGCTTTGGGTTTAGGAGTTTAGGAGTTTAGGAGTTTAGGAGTTTAGGGTTTTAGGGTTTAGGGTGCTAGTGAGCTATCGCCGGTAGGCCACGCTGCAACTGAAATAACCGGCCAGAAAGGAATAGCTTAGAACGAACGGCTCAAGTACCACAGGGTTTCGATTTTAAGGATTGGTTGCATTTTCCTCGTCAGGTCCAAACGTCCAAACACATACATACGGTTGATGGACAAAATCCTGCATGACCTTACATACCTAAACTATGGGATGTATGGTACTTTACTATATTGGGGTCATGCAGAATTTTGTCCATCAGCAGTAGTATGTAAGTCGACTTTAAAAAACCATATCGGGTCCCACTTCAAGACTCTTTCAAGACTACATGGACCCAAAGGGTTGGGCCAAGGGTAATTGAAGCTATGGAATAAAGTGTAAACTCCGGCTCCCAACCACGAAGGGTTACCCGCGGACCTTCCAACTTTATGCGAAACGCAACATGTGGTACCCTGCGACAGAACGTCCCCTTTTAGCAAAAAATGGCCACAATGTCGTTGTGCCGTGGCATGACTAAACCTATAGGTGTAAATCGGCCGGCAGCCCCCTTACAACCTTAACCCTCAACCAGACCCCCTGATCCTCATACTTCTGCTTGCGTTTCGGCCCGAAATCCTGAACCCTACCCAAGACCCAACTGCAGGCCTACCCAGACCTTTCCAAACTTCCTGTAGAGTGTACCTACATTCATACTAAGAATCCTACTTAATGCACAATAGGAGGGACCCCTAGAAGGGACCCCTAATCCAAATACCCTATATAACCTCTATATACTTATATAGTCTCATGAAGTCCCTATATAACCCCAAGGGTCCCTGTAAGGGTCCCTCCTTTAGTCCCTTGACCTACTACAATTTGATTAAGGGATGTTCCTTAGCTAATGGATGTCGGAAGCTCTGGGTCGGTTGTGGAGTCTGTGCCCCCCAAGACCCAAAGCTCTAAACCATAACCCCGAAACTCTAAACCCCTATTTTGGGGGTTTAGGGTTCAGGGTTTAGGGGTTTAGGGGTTTAGGGGTTTAGGGGTTTAGGGTTTAGGGTCTAGGGTTATAAACCCTCAACCACCAAACCCTAAACCCCCAAACCCTAAACCCCTTAACCCCTTAACCCTAAACCCCCAAACCCCTGTTATATGCCTAAACCCTAACCCCTAAACCCTAAACCTTAAACCCTAAACCCTAAACCCTAAACCCTAAACCCTAAACCTTAAACCTAAACCCCAACCCCTAAACCCTCAATCCAGCCTCCTTGTCCGGATCCTCCGGCTCCCCAGGCTGCGCAGACTCCTTCGTCAACTGTTAAAGGGAGTCTAGGGTTTGAGGTCGGTTTAGGGTTTGGGGTTTAGGAGTTTAGGTTTAGGGTTTAGGGTTTAGGGTTTAGGGTTTAGGGTTTAGGGTTTAGGGTTTAGGGTTTAGGGTTTAGGGTTTAAAGTCTAGGGTTGGGGATTAGGGTTGAGGGTTTGGGGCTTAGGGCTAGAGCTAGAGGGTTAGGGTAAAGGTTTATAGGGTTTTTGGTTTAGGCTTTAGGGT